GGCTGTCGAAAATTAAAAAAAAATGTAATGTTTGCGATAAATATTACCTTTTATCGGAATGTTTTTTGTGCTTAAAACTGTCATAACTTTTTCAAAAATTAACAAATAAAAATAATATTTTCTTGTATTGAAACCTTAGATATTTCCCTTTCATTTGATATAATTTTTTTTGAAAATCTAACACTTATTCTGTTCACTGGGGGGATTTAAAATAGTAACTTTTTTACAAAAATGAACTTTTTCAACTTAATTTTTGAAAATGTTCCGGAAATACTGCGTCCTTCAAACATATATAAAATTAAAGCTTATTTTATGTACTACAAAATGAAAAAAAAAAATTTGTCCCGACGACCTATCTTTTATACGCAAATGGCTGCCGTATTCAAAAATATGCTATTTTTGTATTCAAATTATGGGTTTTGTATTTTATTTTAATAGAAGTTGATGTTAATTTTGCAATTATCCATCAATTTTTTAAAATTAAACACTATCTACAGATTTGCATCGAAGCGTTTCTTATGATAGTGATTTTAATCACTGTCAGATTAAATCTATCTGGACCCAACTATGCAATGTCTCCACTATGCCGCGACCCCACTGTGCTACCCTTTTTTTTTTTATTATATTTTTACTGTAAATATTATACTATTAAAAATAGTAATACATTTAAATTTACCCTTAAAATTAACATTCATATAAAATGAATGTAAATTTTGACATTTTTTTAAGTATTGAGTATTTTAATGCAATACAAATTTAATACTATATAAAATTATAAAATCATTCTATCTAAAACAGTAGTGATGATCTCTATAAAAAAATTTATGAAATAGTCAAATATAAGTTTTGAAAAATTTGAAGAAAAAAAAAAGGTTATTGAAGTTGTCAATACCTTGTGGGACACCTTGTATAGTAATAAAAAAAACATTTTTAAAGCTTTTGAAAATTAATTAAAATGTTACAAATAAAACATAAAAAATGTATATTGCAATACATTTCTATTTTATTTATAACAATATAATTAGAATTAACAATAGAATAAGTCTGGACAACAGGAAAGCACTTATAAAAAGCTTTGTGTGGAGTGTAAGCTCTATATGGATCAGAGACTTGGACAATAATGAAGGCTGAAAAAGCCAAAATAGAAGCCTTTGATGTATGGTGTTGGAGAAGAGCGCTAAAAATTTCATGGACGGAAAAGATAAAAAATGATGAGGTTTTCAGGAGAATGAATACCCAAAAATCAATATGGAATACGTTAAAACTGAGGAGGAAAGCATGGATCGGACACATAATAAGGAATAGTCCTTGGATAACCACAATAATAAAGGGAAAAATCTAAGGGAAACCTGGAATAGGAAGGCCCAGAACCCCATTTTTAAAACAGGTGATGGAAGATACTGGAATAGGAACATATTGGGAGATAAAGAGGATTATAAGTGACAGAGACAAGTGGAGAGAAACATCAATAATCATTTAACCAATCTTCGGATTGAAAAAAAAAAAATTGCAATACATTTTTTATTATTTATAACCATATAATTAAAATAATTATCCACAAATAGAATTTACATTATAATATAAATTAAATTTTATCTATAAAAGGTTATTAAATTTGTTAACACTAATCCTAACATATAGAAATATATTTTAATTTGATTATTAGGTACATGTTGAATTTAAAAAACAATGCCTTGAACTGACTGTGGATAAATTATTGGAACAATTTGTATTATCTAAGTATACTGGATTAGAAAAACCTGGTATGTATTTTTTTATAATTAAATTAAGTCACAAAATTTTTTTATTTGTTTTACAAATTATGAAAAAATTTAATTTTAGAAACCATTGAATTTGAAGATGTTTGTCTTAGCTCTTCCAATAGTGCATGTCAGATTCCAGATTCGTTCAGTGATTCAAAATCAATTCAAGGAACCAATTCACCTATTTTAATTAGTAATCCTCCAAATTTGTGTACAACTAGTATATCATCTGAAAAATCTACTAAACGTGAAGGTAATTGCAGTCTAAGAGACAGGAATGATGCAATCAATTACCAGTCCTCCAGAGCAACATCCTTACTCAATATCTTCATCTCCAATTCCCATGGTATGTTCTTTTACTAAATAGTTTAATCAACCTCACAAATTGGCCCACGAGAACCGCTAGTAGTAATTTTTCTGCACTGTACCAGCAATCGGTAATGTTAAAATTTTTATGTTTAGATGCTTTGCAAAAAAAAAACACAGTTTTAATGTTTAGAAATCTAAAATGAAAACATTTAAGCTCACAAAATACATTTCATACATTTTCTACTCTTTGTATCATTTAAATTGTTGATAATTTAATTATCTCAATTGGATCATTTTTTGTGATTTAACATATTTTACATACATTTTATTAACTTAATGAATTGATAATGACCATTTTTTTTAATTTAAGATATTATATATGTTAGTATGCTAAGAATAATATTTTATTTTTATTTTTTCTTCAAGTATTATGACATACACTTATGTAAATTTTTCTTACTAATTTTAAACATCAGGTTTATTTAAAATTAACAAAATAACATGTTATATTAAATCGATGATGCTATACACAATAATTTTCACTGTGATTAATTTTAATTTCAATAATTTTTTTTTTCTATAAAAAACTTAAGAAATTGATAAAAGAACTTTCAATGTTAATTTGTAATTAAAGGATTTTTTTACTTAATTGTAATAACCACCAATTGATAAAATTTATTAAATTTAATTGTGCATTAATCTTAAAAATATTGAGATCTTTTAATTAATAAATGATTTTAATATTTTTAAAATGATGTAAAAGACAATACTTTTAATTTAAACAACTTTCTTATAAAAAATCAATAATATAATTGATAAATCTATTAACAGTAATAATAATTAAAAATAATAATAAATAATTAGCTTTTCCATCAAGTTGATGATATGTAAATTGATTAAAATAATGGCTTGGCAAATTAGTTTTCAAATAATGTAATATAATATTACCATGGCAGGCTGCTTCCTATCATTATTCTGGTTTCTATACAAATATTACACATTAAAATATATTTCAAATGAAACTGCTGAATAACCATTAATGCTTGATACTTTAACTCTTATATATATCTATACATTACTAATTGTTTCAACTAGTGATGTTACGAGTAGTAAATACATGTACAAACCAAATACTGAGTTAAAGCTGGGTAGGCAAATTTTTTGGTCAAAATATTAAATGTCTAACATTCCCTTATCTTTAAAGTTAAAACCACAATATAGGTATAGATATATGGAAGGCTGAAACCCTCTGTATTCAGATTTTGCTCCCTTAATAATTAGAAAAATCAAATGTATTTAAAAAAATTTATATTTTTTTAAAAAAGGAAAAATGACATGTAGCCCCCTCAAAAACTGTTTCAATCAATATATGCAGGCTAATTCTACATTATTAATATATATTTAACAAAAAAAGGCTTTAATAACGATGATTATTAGCCTACTTTACAATGTGCAATTTGCTAAACATTACACAATATTACCATATTTATTTTATTTTAAAAAGATCATAGTATTCTTGAATAATCCTTGTTCTGTGTTGTTTCTAAGTTTTGGAAAATTCAAAATTTTGTGTGTTCATTGGTGTATTTTGGTCAGTACATTATAATATGTTTGACTAATAGGTTGGGTCTGGCATGTATCACAGGACGGTCTAGAATCCTTATTAATTACATATATATGAGTTTATTCTTTTCTTCTAAGTTCAATGTTGATTTTTGTTTTGTATACATTCTTTGTTTGATAGTGGTACATTGTCTCAGTAAGTTTGTCAAGAATTCATTATTTTATTTTTTATTTCTTTTGTTGATTCCGAGGTGGTGGTTAGAGATACTTGTTTAGATGATGTGGATGAGATGGCTGTATGTGCAACTATATCAGATCTTTTGTTACCTAGTATGCCCATGTGTGATAGTACCCACATAAAATCTAATGATTTGTTTGACCTGAAAATGAGTTCTGGAATGTTTTGAATAAGTTAATTTTTGGGTAGGGTATTTAATAAAGAAAAAATGCCACTGTAAAAATCACTTGTAATCAAAATATACTTATTGAATCTTATTAAAATTGATTAAATTAAAAAAAATATATTTTTATTATTTCATATAAAGGCATAAAATATGTCTTGAAATTTTTTTTCTTTCTTGATTCATAATTGAATTAATTCACAATATTTAAAACTTAAACAATTGTAGATATGATAATAATTTCAATGCTATTATTATTATTTGGGCTATGACTATGAACTATGATTAAAAATATTTTCATACGACAAGGTAAATTTTTTCCAAAAAAAGAAATACATATTACCGAGTAAAAGTAGAGTCTTCAAAAATAAATGGTATCTAGCACATCTCTAGTTTTAATAATTATTGACTTTTATAAGTTTAGTATTTTCATACTTAACATAAAAAAAAATTATCTTTTAAACTCCTACTTTTATTTTTTATATCCTGGACTTGGTAAAATTGTTGCAATTTTTGTTATAATTACTAATTAAGTTATACTCCATAATTTAAATAAGTACAAAAAACTGTTTTTCATTAAGTTTTTAATAAATAATAATTGAATATGTCAATAAGTAATCACAAAAGTTACCATTTTTGATAAATTGTGATTATGGTAAATTTGAATTCTCTTAACCTACATACATACACAGCGTTGGGTAGTAACTTGAATTACAAGTTACACTGTAACAAAACTACTTATAAAGTAATTTAATTTAATTATTTAACAATAATTTTAAAAAATACTTACTACTTTATTTTAAGCAATTAATTTTAAAAATTACAATGCCCTTTAGTGGGGCTTATTTATAATTTTATACTGAAGTTTTTACATTAAAAAATATTTCTTAACTTCTTTTCCTTGTATCAAAATTTAGATATTTTTTAGTCTTTCCTCCTTGATAGGGTTTTTTCTAAACATTTTTTTTTGATATATATATATATATATATATATAATAATTAAGACTTAAATAATACTATTCCATTAAATTATTTTTGTTTATTATAACATATTTTAAATCTAGCGAAATGAATAGTGTAAAAATTTTTTGTATAAATTGAAATAAAATATTTTTTTTAATTATTATATTCTTAAATTAATTTATTGAAAAACTAATGAAAATTATATAAAATAATAAATATAATTTTTAAAAGTTTTAAGTCAAAGATAATATTATTTCATTAACTCTTATACCAACTAAAATAACTTTCCAATTTTATTAAAATTTTCAAAAATGTTATATATTTAACAAATAAATTATTAAATATCAAACTATCAAATGAAATGTAGATATTGTTTTTCAATAAATTTATTTTATTCTGGGTACCTAAATGTATTTGGATTTTTACAAAATTTTGTAATAATGACTCATAGTATTAATCAATTAATTTACATTATATTTTTAATTAATGGTACATTTCTAATTACATGTAAAAATCAGTATTATAACAAAATTTATATTTTCATTATGCTTTTCAATTTATCTTAAATTTTACAAATTTTTAGTTTATTTTGGTCAAAAATAATTGTATGCGTAACAAAATCATTCATCCTTTTTTTATTATAATTACAAAATAAAAATCTTATAAAAATGCATGCATTTTTTCAATTAATTTTTATGCTTTTATGTTTTATTGTAAGTAAAAGCTATGTTACAGGTGCTTTATCAAAATCAAACAGAACTATTAGCCTTAATGCTGATCATTCAACCTACTCACTCCCTCAAAGTTCTGTTCGTGGATCAAAATGTAATTTTTGTTTTTAATTTTGGCCCTTAATGCATTTTAATTTCTGCATGTTTAAATTAATAATTCTTATAATTTGTTTTTCTATAAGTACTAAATACTTAGGTTTTCCCTTATGTTTATAGATATTAGTATAATTAGTATTAATTTGTTTATTAAAATATTAACTGTGTTAACTATTTTATGACTAAATACACATTTGTTATAAAATATAAAATTTATGCTTTTCACAAAAATTAAAGTCAAGTTTTCTACTAATTTATACTTGTTTGTAATAAGCAAACAATTGTATTATATTAATTATTATTTGGTTTGAAATTAAAATATTTTCAAACAAATATACAGAGAATTTAATTTTTTTTTTTATTATACATTATAATATTTTAGAATATCTAAAAAAAATGGGCTTATAACAAGCGTGTATTAAACTAACTAACCTTAATTTATAGCATAATGATAACCTTTTAAAGGCTAAAGATTCATGTTTTTTTGTTTTTTATAAGTTTATAATATTGACAATTAAAAAGCAATTACCATAAGTGTGATTAATCAAACTATTCAGGAAAGCTTAAACAAAAGTTTTTATTACATTATTGTTGTTTATTCTACAGTAAAACTTTTCTTAGTAAAATCAATTAATGTATAATTTTGTCATTTGTAATAATATTTAACAACTCAATTAAAAAAAAAATATGGCATTTTAGTATATTTGCCTTCTAATTGTGGATGTTATAGTTATGATAGATTAACCATTATTGATAACTTGTTTATCTTGCATCAAAATTTGGCTACTCAGTTCATGATTAATCTAAAAGTATTTATGGCAGTCAGACAAAATACATCAGTATTATCATAACTTAGTTTTTATAATTGAAAATTTTAAACAGACACCTTTGATCTTGCAATAATGGGAAATATTTAAAAAATAATAAAATTGATATGTTGTAGAAGAAATAAACAATAAAAATATATGAGTAATCAGAATGATTGATTGTTTGAAGCTAGTATAATTTAAAATTAAAAAAAATATTTGTTTTACATATTCTAGCTTGAAAGTAAATCTGAAGCTATTATTTTTTAATTTTAAAAGATTATATATTTTTAATTTTAAATGTAAAAATATGTTTTCTCCCTAAAATCTATTTAGCTAATTTTATGTTAAAATAAAAAAAATAATTTTGAATAAACCTTGTATGATAAAAATCTCAAAGACATAATATTTTATTTGGGGAAAATAAAAATTATAGCATACTAACATGATTGGAAAGTACATTTCAGAAATAAATTTTATAGTAGCTTTTTATTTTTCATAAAAATTCAAAAACATTCCTTTATTTACTCAAATATTTCTCTCGTTTCCTTTTAATCCTTCAATTGCTTAAACTATTTGTTATTATATATAATTGTTATTGTTAATTTACAAAATTATTCATTATTATACCTTTTGTTTTTAGTTGCATGTTGTTCAATTACTACTCAATATTTATGTTGTTATTATTATTAATTTAAATAGTGCTAAGTACAATTAGAATGTGGTTGATTTGATATATATTTTACTTTATTATTATAGATTATATTATATTTATTAAAATATAAAGTAATATTACAATATTTAATTATTGTATATAATTATTTCTCTTTGTATAGTGTACTTGTTGTATGATTAAATTATAATTTTAATAAAATACAAATAATATATTCAGGGTTTTTGAGGAGTAGACGTGACAAACGCAAGGAAAAAAAAACCAAAAAAAAAAAAGACAGTAATGAAATTATAGCAAACGCTAAAGAAGAAAAATCTGAGTAAGGAAACTTATACCAAAAAAGTATATGCTTATTTATATTTATGATTATTAAATAGAAATAATATGTTTTTGTAGTGAAGAAAAAGAGGAACAAGATCAATCAAAAATTTCTACTCCGGAAATTGACGATGAAGGATATCGTATTCAACCATCCAGTCAATGGAATGTTGATAAAGGAAGCTTTTATTCTACTTCTGATTCTGGTTAACTAATTGATATACAATTTTAAGGATTATGTTTTTTTTACCTTTAATGACCAATAAAAATTGTTTTTAGATGAAGAAAGAGATAAAAGGCTACATGTGGAAATTAAACCTCTGAGTAATGGTTCAGGACCAATTAGTGCTAGTGTTGATGAATTAAGAGCTACTGTTGAAAATTTATCACTTATGCCTCTAGGAGCACACACATTAAGGGTAATTAATATTTATAATTTTATAGGTTCTTTTAGAATAATATACTTTGAGTAATGTAATGTAACAATTTTTTCTTAGAATCGTCGGGGATCTGCTAATGATGATGGAATTATGAAACGATCAAAATCAGTTTCTCAACAATTAAATTCTGTGTAATTATTCAAGAAATTTTTTTATATTTCTCCTATTAAAATGAAAATGAAAATTAAATTTCAGAAAAATTAGTAATGACCTTATTGGTCTCAACTTGTTCCAGTCAAGTGCTAGTTCGCCCAACTCAACCCAACAGCCATACAGTTCATTAAATAGTCCAACACTTTCATTACCAAACAAATCAATTTCTCCGTCCAATATTAATACTCCTGTGGCATCAAAATATGCAGCAGGTAAAATAATTTTAGCCTTTTTTTGTTTATGCTTGAGTCTCAATAATTTATTTTTCAAAAATGACATTATATTTTAATTAAATTTTATTAATTACTTTTTAGATTTAGGTGATTTATTTTTTGAAGTCGGTGATACTCAACATCCAACACAAACTAAACAATCACCTTCTTCTACAACATCGGTAGGATCTATATCTATTCCTCGCCCTCCATCTAGACGGGAGGTACTTAGATTTATCTTAATAATATTAATTAGATTTTGATTTATATGCATTGTGTGTTAATAATTTATTATTAATGTATTTTTATAATGTAGAATACAGGACCACGAAGTCAATTGAGTCCAATAAGCATAGGTAGAGCTGATAGTGTGTCGAGCCTTGAGTTTAGATCATCTGGTGTTGTTGGACAATCTAGAGTACCATCGCCATTAACAATTGGCCTGTCTGATACATTTCCATTGGCCATTGCATTTCATGAGATCATTCATGCCTATTTCAAAGGATCAAATGAATCAAGGCAAATTAAAAAAATAAAATATAACATTAAATAGTATTTATAAGTATATTACAAAAATGTATTTTTTAGGTGTCAAGTAAAAATGTTTGGTGATATGATGGTATCATTTCCAGCTGGTATAGTTAATGTTCTAGCAAATAATCCAAATCCAGCAAAATTGACATTCCGATTAAAAAACACCATGCGTGTAGAAAATCTTCTTCCAAACAAACAATTAGTTAACATGTAAAAATATTTTTAATAAAATAATCATTCAGTATATATTAATAAATTTTACTAAAACATTTATGTTTCTTTTGGTGCTACAGTGACAATACAATTGCAATAAATGATTCAATTGTTTATGAATTTAATATGCCTGCATTGACATTATTATTGCGTAAACAATATGAAAAAAACCCTGTTGCTTCTTATTTCAATGTTGATATACTAAAATATCAAGTAAGTAAATTTTTTGGGTAAAGACATTGTTAGTCAAAATATATTTTAAATAATTTCTTTTCAGATAAAATGTAAGAATTCAGCAGCAACTTCATGTCCTCTTCAGTTAGTATCGTTCTATAAATGTTGTGGTACACATACAGATCTGAAAATTGATTACAAGTTCAATAGCCACTCAATGAATGTACCTTCTTCATTACTTAATGTCTCAATATCTACTAACTTGAATACCACGATACAAAATATGCAGTCCAAACCTCCTGCTCAATGGTGAGTATTTGTAATGATTTATTGATTAAGTACACTTATATTTTAGAATATCATGTTTCTAGGCAACCAGATACAAAAACAGCTGTATGGAAGTTTGCTGAGCTTTCACAACATTCAGGAAATCAAGGTTCAGGTTCATTGAAAGCAAGGTTTGAAGTTGATACTCTGTGTCCAGTATCTACAATAATAACTCAGTTCAATTGTGAAGGTACTACATTATCTGGAGTAGAATTTGAATTAGCAAGTAGTGGTTACAGAGTTTCATTGATCAAAAAAAGATTTGTTGCTGGTAAGTAGAAAATTGACAAATCTTATAATATTAATTAAATATAATTAAAATTTTTAAAAATATTAAATTAAAATAGACTTAGAGTTATNATAATTTCAAAGATATTTCGTAAAACATAGTTAATCACCTTATACGAGGTGTGTTCAAAAAGTAAGGTGACTTTTCAAATTTCGCGGGCTACGTCCGTTTGATCTTAGATTTTTTTTTATGTCATGTTGGTACACTCGTACCGAACATCTATACACAGTTTCAAGTATATAGCATATTTAGTTTTTTTTTGACAGATACAAAGATTAGACGTATTTTGGTGTGCTCGGCGATTTTCTGCTATCAAAAAAAATGGATCAAAGAATTTGCATTAAATTTTGTGTCAAAAATGGAATTAAGTGTTCTAAAACACTTGAAATGTTGACAGTGGCTACGGTGAGCCGCTCTGAGTAAAAAAAACGTTTATAAGTGGTACAAGCTTTTCCAAGTGGCCGAGAAGATGCCAATGACGAACCTCGCTCTGGACGTCCCAGCACGTCAACAACAGATGAAAACGTTGAAACAGTGAAGAAAATTGTTTTGGAAAATCGGCGAATCACTATAAGAGAAGTTGCTGAGGATGTTGACATATCGGTTGGCTCGTGCCATGAAGTTTTTTCGGATATTTTGGGCATGAGACGTGTGTCAGCAAAGATTGTTCCGAAACTGCTTAATTTTGACCAGAAGAATCTTTGCATGAGCATCGCTCTGGAGCTGTTGAATGACGTCAATGATGATCCTGATTTGCTCAAAAAGGTCATAACTGGTGACGAATCATGGGTATATGGTTATGACATCGAAACCAAAGTTCAATCGTCCCAATGGAAGAGCCCAGGAGAGCCAAGACCGAAGAAAGCACGACAAGTTCGATCAAATGTCAAGGTTTTGCTCACCGTTTTCTTCAATTGTCGTGGCGTAGTGCATCAGGAGTTCTTACCACAAGGTCGTATGGTCAATAAGGAGTATTATCTTGAAGTTATGCGTCATTTGCGAGAAGCAATACGAAGAAAATGTCCGGAATTATGGAAAAACAATTCATGGCTTTTGCATCATGATAATGCACCTGCTCACTCATCGTTGCTTGTAAGAGATTTTTTAGCCAAAAACAACACCACAATCATGCCTCAGCCACCATATTCACCGGATTTAGCCCCATGCGACTTTTTTCTGTTCCCAAAACTGAAAAACCCTATGAAAGGACGAAGATTTGCAACGATTGGGGAGATAAAAACTGCATCGCTGAAAGAGCTCAAGGCTATACCAAAAAGTGCTTATCAGAAGTGTTTCGAAGATTGGANAAAGATTGGAAAAAGCGTTGGCACAAGTGTATTACATCTGAAGGGGATTACTTTGAAGGGGACAACATAAACATTGATGAATAAATAAATAGTTTTTCATAAAAATATCAAGTCACCTTACTTTTTGAACACACCTCGTACTTAATAAAATAACAATCATAATTTAAGTTTAAGTATTGTGAATATATCACACATCTATCTGCTTTATAGAATTTTTTATAACCAAATATACAAATATCTTTCATCTAATATATATTATCATTAAACACTGATATGAATATGCTTTTAAAGATTATTTTATAAATCAAAGTCTCATAAAAATAATTATATTTTTATTTTAGGAAAATACATTTGTGACAGTGAGCCTGATGCGAAAAGTTCAGTCCTACATTCCAATGTATCATCAAATATTTCTAGTACAGATTGTTAATTATCTTTCATATTATTGTTTTTTTTTTTTTTATCTTTGTTAGCATCATGGTTTTATTATTATTTTGTAATCTCATAATTTATACTATCTTTATTCTGACTATTCAATTTCATAAGACATCAATAGTATTTACTTATCTATTTCTATTAAATACAAATTAATTTTTTTTTAATATGCTTTATTTACTATCAGTGTAATCTGTTTATGTATACTTGTTTCATAACAAATGCAAAATATTAAACAAATTATTTTTACATGTGAACAAACATCTATTTTAGCTTGTTAAAAAGCACTATATATTTATACATTAAAAAAAAAAAATAGATTATTCAATTTCCATGTTTCATATTAATTGTTATTTTATTTATAAGAGTTTCAAGGATAAGATTTCTTTTTATATAAATTGATCGCAATTTTATTATAAATATATAGTGTTTTAACATATATTCATAAAATTAATTCTTTTATTTATTTTAAATAAGAATACAGGGATTTATAGTTAAGTGTTAGTTATCATTTCAAAATGATGACCATTGTATTGAAAATGTGTTAAACCTTACTAGAAATGAGCTAATTTTATAAAAGTTAGTGTAAAAAACTTTTATTTATCAAAATGTATAAACAATAGATCTTGTCACAGTAATCTCTTTTTTATAGTTATTTTAACATATTGATTATATATGTATTGTGATACAGTTCCAATATTCAATTCTTACTTTTTTATTATTTATTAGTAAATACGAAAAATATTTTTGATTAAATTTTATTATTCGTGTTATCTATTGCTTCATATAACTAGTATCTTATAAATGTATAAATAAGAATCAATACTTGTTGAGTTGCTTTTTTTTTTATTATAGAGAAATATTATTTATTTTATTTAGTTATTGTTTTTGTTATTCATTTAAACTATGTTTAAATAAATATTACAGACAAAGTCTCAAAATTAAGTTAGACAAATTTTATATTTATTTAAACACATATCTTAAAATCATATAATTAAAAGTTAGTTTTAATTTAAAAATTTAATAACTATTGATCCAATTATCATTTCACTGTAACTTTTTTTTTACAATTTTTTAAAATAGCAATTTTTTTGTTATAACATATTTAAAACTAGTATTTATTGAATTACGAGCATTTTAATACTTAAGTAAATAAGTAGCAGGAGTAGGTACAGCCTGTACAAGTGTCTGTTTACTTATAATGTATACCCCTCCTGGAGTATGTACTCATTCTATGTATTAAAAAATACTTGTAATTTGATCAATACTTGTCTTAAAATTGTTATCAACCCATCATGTTTTTTATAAGGTATGTTCTAAGAAATTGTATTGCCAAATGAAAAATTGAACAATAAAAATACCTTTTTTTCTCATTAGAGTAAAATAAAAAATATGCATTAAATCTTATCTAAAAATTTAGACATCTTTTTAAAGCAAAATTACAAGATAAGTTAAGAAAAGATAACTGTATCATGAGCTATAAACTAAATAATAATTATGTACCCTTATTTTTTAAAAAACTTTTAAGTGTTGCTAAGCAAACGTCGTATTTAATTACTGAACAATGATGAAAGTTACCTGAATACCATTTTTATTTGAATGATACCATTCTTTAGATGTTAAAATTCAAATTTAGAAATTATGAGCAGATATAATTAAAGCCTTCAATTATTTTTATCATCCAGTGGTGTTTTTATTAAATATTCTTTTTAGTAATGTAAAATATATATTTATATACATTTAAAAATTACAAAAATAATTTACATAATATCATAACACAATAATTTAAATGCGAAAGAACTAGCAATGTGCAGTGTTGTTAAAAACAACTTAGATTCATCTGTAGTAACTATTATCCCATTGCATAGGACTAGGTAGTACAGACGAATTTAAAGTAGCTGTCGATGAATGATCAGCGATGACCGACTCGTATGGATTGGAAGAATTACTCATTTCTTTTTTAGATAGCTTATCACGACCAGTAATGCAAATGTAACAACCGAACATGATAAATATTTGAAGCACAATAAAAACTGCCAGCACTAGTATAAGCATGTATGTGTTCCAGCAAACTGTATACTGGTGACCATTCGGGAAATTTATCTCATTATTAATATTTTCTTCATATTTAGTTCGATCCTTAGCATCACTTCGTCGAGCATCAAATTTAAATTTATCTTCTATCCGAATCTCTTGGAATACGACTTCGTCAGTTACCTTTTGATCACGGGCACTACGTTTCCGCCTAAAAAATAATTCGTTTATAAATCTCATAAGAAAAAAGATAAATATAAAACAGTAATTACCGGCCAAAAGAGTTTGCACGACTTATGGAACCATTTTGACCAACCAAATTGCAGTTGATAGGTTCACATTTAGGCAAACAAGGCGTAACTAAAGCTTTGAACTGCACAATATCAGATGTAGGAAATTTAAAAGCATCAAATGGAGCTTCCAATATTTTAACAGTACCCAGCGTACCAGTATCAACAGCAGATATTGGACCCATGATGGCTGGATCAGTTGGACAGCCGTCGTTATCAATTAAAATTATCTCACTAGTATCTACCCCGTCCATGGCAATGAGTTCTCGAACAAATATTTCGTATGGTGATTTATCGTCCAAAATGTGGAATCGTAAACTAAGAGGGTCACCAACCTGAGCTGCATGGATATCACCTCCTTCGCGGCTTGTGATTCTCATCATCACAGTTGGTGAAATTACGAATGCAGTCTCTTCTACCGCGTTACTTAATTCATCCAGACCGTTGTTACCAATGGAATCCGGTAACGTTTCTTGTTTCTCTGATTCGGTAGCTGCCACAGCCAACTCAATACCTTGACCAACACTCCTGTCGTGTAAGTCGTATGAACACTTAACCGATAGGCCTACATCCTGGCCTGTTACTATCTGATCATGATGCTGAAATAGATTAAATTCAATAAGTTCTGATCTTATTCATAACTATCTTTTGTTGTTGAATAAAATTTACCTGGATTATTATTTCAGTGGAAAACTTTCCTGGGAGGTCTTGTTGAACATCACAGTTGAGGTTGTGATAATCAAGATGCAATTCAAAATCAAGTTTACCACTAACGTCATTAACGCAAGAATTAGGTCTATTCTTGGCGTAAACCTTACCGTCGAACAACCGGTTGGTATGTATAGATGCAACCATATCGGCTCCACGGCAATCTACTTTGATGGAAAAGCACGATGACATTTGATAAGTGATAGCACCGGGCACGGACAAGTAAGGACGATCTAGTTGGGATAAACTGGAAGTGCTGTGGTGAGACACACGACAGATGTTTATTCCTGTCTCGTTATAATCAAAAGAACGACACTGAAACTCTTTGGACGATAAGCATATTTCTTTGCACTTCTCCATGGTTGCTACGTTTTCAAAAATAGCGTCTACAGTTTTCAGCAGCTTACCATCCACTTCAGAAAAATCGCACATTTTGGGCTGCTCCATCACGCAATTAGACTCCATATAATCAATAGCGGTGTTCAATGAGGATCGATTACCGCTGTTCATCAATGATGGCCTTCCAGCTACAGAAAATCTGTCCACGTCGTTTAGATAACAATCTCCAGTATCCCTGTTAAAATTGATCGACCTGTAAAATTCAAGTAAAACTACACATTAGATTTATATTAGATATAATTTGTATAATTATATAAAGTTGATTAGTAGTTTATAATTATTTATCACGGTTCAAACAAACCACAAATTGCTTATTATTACACAAGTAATATTTTCATCATTGCATCATGCTCATTGTTAATTACTGCCTGCATGAATAAATCTGTCCCTTATTTTTGTCTTGCACACACATAAATTACAATTTCGTCGATTCCAGTTTATTCGCATCATTAAATTATTTTTTAACTGATCTGATACTAAAAGGTCAATACTGAATAATGTTAAATAAAAATTATTTTATTTCATAACAAAGATCATCATTAACATAGACCGCAAAACGCGCATAGGTTATTGACAGTATTCAGTTGTTTGCTTGTCGTCACGGATCAAATATGAAAATTAGAGCGGGCTGATGGCCTCTTAAGAATTATCTGTTATCTGAGCTATTATTCCGACCATTGGTTTGTGATGATGACATCAGGTAAATATTAAAAAATCATGATAATTTATAGATTTAAATCGAACTGCAGTGAAAAGATCTAATGCTAAAAATTCTATAAATGTTTAGCTGAAAACATTTTTCTCAGTAAAATTATAAATTTTAAATACAGAGTAATTCTTTAAATATAAACTAATTCAATTATTCAAAAAATAAATACAATATCGAAAAAAAATGTTTGGTTTTTTGAGGAGTGCAGCTGCCGTACCTTTACCCCAGTCTATATTTTTTAAAATCGTCATACCTTCTGAAATACTAATCCAAAAGTTGTTATCGATCGGTCGTTTTCTCAATTAATAATTTCCTATTTTATAAGCTAATTAATGTATTGTCATTAATATAATATTAGTAATAATACACAAGTGAAATAAAGCAGTATTCATTTTGGAAATGCGATATAGACCCCAGTACTAAAAATGATGAATTTTCAGATAAGGTTTGGATTTTCCAATAAAAAACTATTGACATCATATAAAGCTTCATTTAGAATTAATGTTAAAAAAGATTTTATAATCTAAAATCTGTAATGTAAAATTTTTGGATTACAAAAAATTACTATGTAAATGTTATTAAATATTTAATGCATATGGATTTCGAGTTTTGAAAACTACTCTCGAGTACAGGTCTTATATATTTGCCCGTGGGTTATTGCTGATGCACGCATAAGCGCAATATTTAAATAATATTGGTGATGTTATTAAGGTTTTACTATGGATAACTTTGTTCTTGAAAGACACAAAATGTTTACACTGTTAGATTTTTCATGTAGAACGTTTAAAATTTACGGAAATTTACCGTACATTGTCGACACGACCTAATTATAGTCATTATTGATTTTCCGGTTCGAAAGAGAATTGAATTCAAAAATAAAAAAAATTAAAAACCATACATCCGGATTCAATTCTTCAGTTGAGTGCAATACAGTCAACTAGAGTCACTGGTTTAAGTTTTAACATGAAATGTAACAATTAACCATTTTAAGCTGTCATACGAATTGTGTGAGTACATAGTACTTCGGTGCACTTAATTTTTAAACATTAATACCTTTACAAGTGAGTGTTGATTAAAAATTATAATCCTTCTTTCGTCGGATAACAAGTACATTACGTATATGATAAAAATAATAAAATATAAACATAAAGCGTGGAAATTCAACTGCTCCGTTAGATGATGACTATTAGATTTCATATACATAATACAACAGTGAATAAATACAAAGTGTGAGCGTACAAGTGTTAATATGTTGAATATAAATGGTTCCCTCATGAAATTTTAGCTACTGGCATTAAGTTATAATTTCAGTGTCTAGGTTAGTATTTCAAAGAAAAGAAAAATTAAGCAGCGGTGTTGGAGTTAATAATTTGATTTATTGTATAATCCCTTTAACGCGATGTTTTAATCGTATTCGAATAAATTAATATGTGTTTAACAACAATGAAAAGATCAAAAAATAACTGACTACATTTATCTTGAGGGTTTTTTTAATTGTAATTTGCATTCAAAACAATAGAAAAATGAATGCCATCATACGAATTTAACCTATTATAGCTTCAAGCTATAATAGGTATTAGCTATTAGCTTCCGTACCATTGAAAATTAATGATTAAATATAATTAATCAAATAAAAATATTTTTAGAAATGTAAAAAGGAAATAGAGGTTGGTCCAGTTGTCGCTAAGCTAAAATAGACGTTTTAGATTGAAAAAATAACTCCAATAAAACAAACAAATTAATATATCTCCAGAAATTTTAAATAGAAGAATTATTATCAAAATTTTCTTCTCCTAAGACCTATTTTTTAGCAATCAAATATTTTTTTAGTATACTTACTATGTAACCAGATGGGTTCCTCGCATTAGTAAATACTACCTTAAATATCATGTTTCAAAGATGAAAAAAAAAGTTATTTTATATTTTTTATAAAATTAGTAACTAACTGTACTATAAATAAACTTTAAATTCGTTATCATTATTATTAGCTTAATACTACTTGTCTTCCATAGATAATATGTATATGATGAATGGCCATTGGTCATAGACATAATGACTATTATATATTATGAATGTGATATAGCTTTCATGGATTGTCTTGTTGCTTGAAGTACTGAAGGATGTAGTAACCATGTTTACAGTTGAGTTCTGACGTTTCGGACTCAACTGTATTATATATTATGTTAATGGATAATATCTATTGGATATAGTATCATGGTATAAGATAATGGGTTTCTACCAGACTTGCCTATGTTTTTAATTATTTAATTTATATCGTGTAGGAAATATAGTTTTATTTATACGTATTATTGTCTATTAAGTACAATTATAGGATAACGTAACGAAATCGATGAAAAAAAAAAAATTTAGTTTAGTTAACTAAATTATACTGATAAAAATGTAACTAAAATCTACCAAAGTCAGTTACCATGTTATTTTGAGTGGTCGCTGATCTTATGAGGGTGATATATATCCTTCACCATCCCCCTACGCTTATTATTTATTCTTCAAATCTCAACCCTTATGTGAAACCTTGACAAAAAATTTAAAAATTGAATCTGAATGTATAATATTTTGATTAAATATCACTTGTATATGAATAATCTCACTATAAGCAAAATTATCATCAAAGGGAAATTCATCAATCAACTTCGACAATTTATGTAATCTTATCATTTATCAAATTATTTTTATGTAAAAAAGGCTTAATACAATATGAAATATAATCATAATCAATGTTTCAATATTAATATTCTATCAAATATTTTAATAAATCTACAAGTAAAAAAAGAACACTTAATGTTCTTTTTACTTGTAGATTTATTTAGCAATTATTAAACAAGTTTTGCCTAATACTCAATCAATAAAAGTTAAAATATATTATGTTCTTACTAAGTTGCAGTTTTTTTTTTGTAATAATAGTTATAATTACTGAAAATATAATATATACACACCTGCAATGGAAAGTATTTTCATTCAGACATAATTCCATGCAATTAGTTTTCATTATTGCTGGATAATGTTGTCTGGGTTGTACTTTAAGTTCACCTTGACTAGTGTCAAAACTCCAACTCCGCTCTTGGCATGTTTTTGGTAGATTTAAGCACACTTTCCTAGCTACTGTGGTTGTTACATGAGATGGATATTGAGACCGTTTAGAAGGAAAATCTAAAATATAAACATACTATGTATAATAGTAAAATATTAAAAAAATCACAATAGGATATTTTATAATAAGGGAAATCGTCGTTAATAATGCAGTGAGTGCAAATCTCAGTTTTTCTAGATTTTCAGGATGATCAAAATAAAATCTTGAATTATAGACGTTTTAATACTAGAAGTAATTTTCAAAACTATCAATAGCGGACTGATGTAACGGATGTAACAGCTCAATGTGTAAAAAAAATCGATCCGTATCACTATGTTTACTTTAATTATAGAAAATTTCCTACAAAACAAATATTTCTCAATTTTATGAGTATGACATCAATATATAATTAATAATGAAATTTAAATTTACAGTGTAACGTGTAATAGAAAAACATTTTTTTCAACTCAATCAAATATTAAAATAATGAATATTTGAATAATAAATATTAATATAATGAATAATGAATCTCCAAGAAAAAAAGGTTCAGAAAATATTTTTTTTTTATCAATATTGATAAAATTAATAATGCTGGGTTTATTACAAAGTTTGGATTTTTTAGACATTATTCAAGAATAAGTTTTTCATTTGCAAAGTAATTGATATTATATTAGTTTTACTAATTTTAAAGTTACTTAAAATTAATTGTAGAACAATTAATTTTTATTTAATTTAAATATTTCTACAAATTACGGTTTCTATAAAACAAACTAAGTGTATATACCCATCAACATACACAAATGTAACAATGTTCACAATGTTGTAAAAAATAAATTTTTATTGGTAAAATTATTTTAACAACAATTATAAAATTTTATTAATTTAATTTTTGTAAATGAAAAAAAAACTGTTAAATATTTTTTAAAAACATGAATGCTTCAAAATTTAATCGCTATAGTTAGTAACAGAAAAAATAAATTTATAGGCTCAAATAAAAGTTCTGAAGACATTAAAATAATTACATTAATAGGTTAATGGCTATATCAATACAGAGTTCAGTGTTCTGGTCCACGTCTCATTTAACAACTTGGACTAAAGCATTAAGGATCATAAATTTTATACTCGGCGTTAAAAAAATATTTAAAAAAACTAACGGCCAATTATCGACTATTGTAGAAGAAATCCTTCACGTTTTTCTTGACACACAATCAATATTATATATTTAATAGCATTGATTTTATATTAAAAGAGAACGTCGAGACGTGCTCAAATCAATAAGATTGTAATTCAAAAATATTTTCTTTTACATTAGTGGATTTTATATGCTGCAGATTAAAGAAGATAACACACGAAGAGACGTGTGAAAAGTCGGCCATATACGTGCTTTTAGGCTGTGTAAATAATTCTCGGTAATATAAAAATAATTGTAACATTAAAATCAACGTTAAAGAATTCACGTTTGACCATTGTTTATCAAATATAATTTTATTATGTTACAAAGCATGCAGATAATTGCCTTTGGGATTTTACTAAAATTTAAACAATTTTGAAAAATTTCCAGGTATAATAAATTATATATTTATTATATTATTAAACATTATTAAATTATTCATACAGTTACTGATTAAAGTGTACACGGGAATTATTTTAAATGTTGGCCACTTAATTTTCATTAAATAATGACTGTTAAGAATTTTTTCAATTACATATGGTATCTATTATTAAGTTAAATTTAGGTTCGTCCCTTATGTTTATTAAACGGATCTATTAAAATGAAAACATACATATTTTAATATCTATTTAAAGAAATAATTAATTGATGGCAACTTTTAAATCAGTTCTTCGGATGTTATTATCAATAAAATACAGACAAAGGTAATGCTGAGGTTATGATTATTTTTATCAACGGGCGTTCTCCAAAGCAACCCCAATTACGTTTCTTCTACTGTCCATGTTAAAAAATATCTATTAATGGATTATTTTGTTTTTTATCAACTATGATGATAGTTGCATTTTTTGACGTCCAGAGTAATCATTATTTAAAATAATATTCAATTTAAAGTTATTCCACTAAATGGTTAGATAATATTATTCAATTGTGATAAATGAGCTCGTGTATCCTGGCGCATTAAGCTCATTTATCTATATTGATACCAAATAAACGTATGTTATAAGATTTAGAACCAACAAAGCCATTATTACCTAACAGATATACTATTGCCGTTCATAAATTTTCTTTTTTACATCGAAAAATTTTACACAATTTTTTTAAATAACCTTAATAAAAGTTTATAATTTTAAATAATATTTGACATGACATATAAAACCTTTTTAAAATTACTAACAAAATAAAATATTACTGAAATATACAATATAGTTGAAAACTATATCCAGTTCAACTAGTCAGAAATAAAATAATATATTTAACTACATGATAGTTTTAAAGACTTTTAATATATGTAATAAATTATATACTATTCAAAAAAATTAAGAACAAATTAAACAATTACTTGATAGCAAAAATTTCTTCTTTGAGTTATTTAAATAGGTTAATGTATTAAAATAAAGCACATTCTCTAATTTAATTTGCATAGTATTATGAAATGACAATCGTTTTTCTATGAAAGGCATTTTACTCGCTGGAAGCAGAATTATTCACTAAACTTTCACTGAACTCAATGGGAAATACATATAGTATTGACACCAACAATATTACAAGATTAAACGAAAATATTTTTCATTTATTTTAATTTAACGTTATCTATTTTATGAAATTGGCCTAAAATGCATTGGTGATTTATTACAAATATAAACATTATTATTTTTATTAGAAATAATTGGCATTAATAATAATTTTTTTTTTCATAACCTTAATATTTAATTTATATTATTAATTAGTGTAATATAAATAGTTATATTTTGCAATAAAGAAAAAAATATTCTTCAAAAAATTCAGTTTAAATCTTATAAAAATCAAACTCAACCACTAAATTAGAATACTGTATAACCTTGTAGCTTTGTAATTTTTGTAACGCACACTATTTAAGCGCTATACAAAACTATCAACAAGTAGTAAATATCCCGCTATAGTAATTTAACTAATTCAAATAGATATCGTACAATACATTTTTTTTCGGTTTATTATCCCATTAAGGGCCATAGTAGTCTACCCCAAAGGAGGTTTCTTAACCTTTTATACCGAACAATACATAGGATCTAGAATTTAGCTATTGTTTTTATAAAGTTACGTTTGAAATTAATTGAATATATACCTAATTATTTCATCCCCAAAATTTTAAGAATCAATTTTAATTGTTTGTTATAAGGATTATCTAAAATATTAAACTAACTAACTTAGTATACTTTACGTACAAATTATAGCTTAGTTTTGGGGAGTAAATACATACAAAAATATGTCATTACCATCTTTCAATGAAAATCGAAATTATATCTTTACCATATTACTAATAATGTTGTTTTGAGGATCTATACCTTAATCTCTTTATAAAATATACCCATGATTCAGGTTTCATCAAAATAGTAGGCTTTTCTTAGTTCATTTTATCTATTATGACAAAATTACAGTATGTTAAATTATTATTTTGATTTTCATATTCTAAACTTAATTCAAATAAATTGTTCCATTATTTTTATGAAAGTAAATCAATAGATTAGAATCTAATCTATTTATTTATTCATCTAATCATTAGATGAATAAATAGATAAATTATACTTTAGATATGTATTATATAAAGTTTGACAACCAATAATGAAGTTTGTTTAGATAAAAATATGAGAACAACTTATAATTATCTAGCAGGAGTATACAGGCAGGGTGTTCAGTAAATAAGGAAACGAATTTCTATTGTACTCATTATTTGTAACAATTTAACTGTTTCCTAACTTACTGAACACTCTGTATAATCATTTTGATCCATTAGAAATAAGTGACTAAAGTATAGCGTTTTGAAATATTTTTAAAAGCTTTCTAATATTTGATCAATATATGCTATTGTGTCCATTACTTGGTAATTGAACAAAAAATACTAGGGTTTGAAATATTCATGAGAATTTATAAGATTATAACATCAAAAAAAGAAGATTTATCTTCTATTTATAAGGCATCTTCTTTTACACTCAGAAATATTTGTGAACGAATTAAAAATATATTAAAAGAACATAATATATTATTCATTTTAATGATTTAAAAATATTTAATCGAAATTGATAATGAAATAATCAGTTCTCAGCTGATAAGAAATTCATAATAGATATCTACATATAATTTTTCATAATAAGTAGTCAACATTTATCTGTGGTGATCAAATGTGTCGTATACCGGTATATTACCACATACTGAGTTAACTTAAAATTTTAATAATAACTAATATTCAAAACAATTTATTGGTTAGAAATCTGATAAGCAACGATTTACATGTTATTCTAGTAATAGATTTAATTCTGAAGTCGTAGATTACTATTACAACATACCTAACAAAATTATTTTATACAGTGGTGTAGTCCTAAAAATGTTTTTGGGTATACGCCTATAAAATGAATAGAGAATAACGTGGGGAGCTCCGCCCCCCACACCCCCCATTACACTTTACATTTTCTACATACAATATTTCACATTATCAACAGTGATATAGTCGTAATTTGATCAATAGATAAGTTAAAAACCTAAATGAGGAAACGTGGGGAATTTCACCCCCACACTACTTTTTAAAGACCTTAACTATAACATAGTTTTGGGGGACGGAATACAAATATTGTGATGTTTTAACTGTGTTAAAAATATGTATTTTCTAATTATTACATAATGCAACTAAAACTCCTAACCCTCCCAGATACGGCCTTGCTCCTTCCAGACTATTACTCGAATATTTTTACTGACACTTCTAAGTTCTTACATAAATTAAATTTCATAGTCATATAATCGATATGTGTATTATTAGATACTGTTATATTTTTTATAAATAAACAATAAACTTTATGCAGTAATAAAATAATCTTACAATCATTGTTTTCAAATCGTTAAATCATAAATGAAATAAACGTGAATAGGTACATGTTAGTA